ACACTTGTCAGAGTTCCATATTGTGTGCACAAGCATGTGCCCCAATGGCCTGTCCGAGGAGCAAATCAAGCTGAGAGCCTTCCCATTCTCCCTCAAAGACACCGCCAAAGATTGGCTATTCTATCTTCCCTCGGGGAGCATCAATACATGGGTTCAAATGAAAAAGAGCTTCCTTGACAGGTACTATCCCGCATCTATCTCTTCAAGTCTCAAGAAGCAAATCAGCAACATTGAGCAAGCGGATAATGAGACCTTGTATGAATATTAGGAGCGCTTTAAAAAATTATGTGCTAGTTGCCCATATTATGGGTATTCGGAACAAGATCTTATCCTCTACTTCTATGATGGACTTGTTGATCAAGATAGACGCATGGTGAATGCGGCATGCGGAGGGGGTATTGTTAACAAAACCCCTTCTCAAACAAGAGACCTCATTTCGGAGTTGGCCGAAAACTCGAGACATTACAACAGAAGGTCATCATCGAAACGAGTCATGGCAGCGGAATCCAACAACTTGTTGGAGAGTCAAGTAGCCGGCTTGACTTCTTTGGTTAAAGATTTCCTTTTAAATCCAAAAACCCAAGAAGTCAAGGTCTGCGGCATATGTTCAACACAAGGGCATCCCACAGATTCTTGCCCAACGCTACAAGAAGAGAACTCCGAGCAAGTCAATGCTTTGGGGTTCCAAGGTCAAAGGAGGTACGATCCTCAAGGAAATACTTACAACCCGGGATGGAGGGATCATCCGAATTTAAGGTACGGAAATTCTCAAACAAATCCTCCTCCTCAACAATATAAACCACAAGGCCAAACATCGAACTCGAGTATGTCCACCGAAGACATGATTCGAGCGTTGGCCGTTAATATGGGAACAATGCAGCAAAGCATGGGGCAATTCCAACAAACCATGATGCAATTCCAACATGAAACCAAGTCGAGCATTCAAAATTTGGAAACTCAAGTTAGCAAAATTTCAAGTTCCGTAAGTCGACTTGAAGCAAAAGATTCGGGTAGGCTCCCCTCCCAAACTAAGCAAAACCCAAGACAACATGTCAATGCAATCATGTTGAGGAACGGTAAAGAATTGCACCCACGGGAAGTTGAGGAGGAGAAGCAAGAGGTTGATCTTGAAGAAGGCTTTCAACAGGAAGAGGAGAAGCCAACGAAGACTAAATTCCCTCCACTGTCATCATATGAACCACTCCCTCCATTCCCTGAGGCATTCAAAGACACAAGGAAGCTGAAGAATGATCGGGACATCTACGAAACATTCGTCAATTCTGAGGTAAACATCCCACTCTTCAAACTGATCAAAAGTGTTCCCCGTTATGCAAAGTTCTTAAAGGAACTATGCACAATGAAAAAGAAAAATAATCTGGAAGGGAAACAAAAAGTTGAAGTGAGTGAACGTGTCTCGGCCATTTTTAAAAAGAAACTTCCTGAGAAATGTAGCGATCCAGGCATGTTCACTATTCCTTGCAAAATAGGGGATACTTTATTTTCTAAGGCCTTGTTGGATTTAGGAGCGTCAATAAATGTCATTCCTTATTCCTTATATAAATCCTTACAACTCGGCCCACTACATCAAACTGGTGTAGTGATTCAACTAGCGGATCGGTCTAATACTTATCCGAAGGGTGTAGTAGAAGATGTGCTAGTAGAAGTAGAAAATTTGATTTTCCCTGTTGATTTTTATGTTCTGGAAATGGGAGATGATAACCAAACTACACTCATCCTCTTGGGTAGGCCTTTTCTAAAAACCGCAAAAACAAAAATAGACGTGTCTAATGGTTCATTAACTTTAGAGTTTGATGATCAAAAGGTAGAATTCAACATTTTTGATTCTACGAAAAAACAGATTGAAAACCAATCTCTTTGTTCTCTAAATGTTTGTGAACCACAAACCCCGAATATTTTTGTTGAGAAAAAATATGAGAAAATCAAACTTTTTGAAAAAGAAGAATTATTCAAATTTTCAAAAGGAGAATGGATCCTACCTGAGATTGAAGTGATACCAGAGAAGAAATCCCGGCCTTACTGGAGAAGGCCGAAAAAGAAAAATGAAACAAGGGACGTTCACGATCCCACATAAAAGAAAAAATATATATATAACGTCGTGCCGCGACATTTAATCAAGCGCTTCTAGGGAGGCAACCCAATTTCTTCATTTTTTATTTTTAATTTTTTTCAGTAGTGTGTGTAAAAAAAAAGGGACTGATATTGGACCCGGTCGGGTAAAAACCCTAATCCGGTCGGGTTGCTTCAAAAAAACAAAACACCCGGGCAACCACCCGGGCGAGGCGAGGGCAAAACAAGAATTAATTTTTTGCCCGACCGGGTAGACTTCCATACCCGGCCGGGCAACCCAGCTAAACCTTTCTGCCTCGGGTGAACAGTTTACACCCGACCGGGTAGACCACTTCACCCGGCCGGGCCACCCAACAAAAAACATTCTGCCTCGGGTAAATAGCGTACACCCGACCGGGTAAACTACCCCACCCGACCGGGCGAACGGGAAAACACAGCTATACCAGGTCGGGCTCAACCTTCCTCTCCCATTTCTTCTTCCTCCCAACACCCAAAATACCCAAATTCCACCATTTTCAAACACCCCAACCTTCGAATCTCCCCATTTCCTTAATCAAATCCACTAAAAAACCTCATTTTCTTCATCTCCTCACTTCCTTCTTCATCTCTATACTCATAAAATCCCCCAAAACCTTCCAAATCAACCAAACCCAAAAACCCTACCCAAAATTCGAAAATCCCCATTCTTGGACATTCAAGGTCCGAAATCTCCCCAAAAATCCTCAACCAATACCATATTCTTACTCTTCTCACCATCCTCTTCAACCCCATACCCATAAAAGCCATCCAAATCTCACCCTACCCCAAAGTCCGAAAATCCCTTTAAAAAAAATTCAATTCCCATGGCTCCAAAAAAATCCAAAGCTTCTTCTTCAAGGGCTATCCCACCGGTAGCGGGCTATGAAAGCGTGGAATTTGCAACGGAGGCACAAAAGCGACTCTTCGAGGGACAAGCACAAAGGGAGGTAAAACAATCCCGATTCATGTGCATTACTACTCTAGCCCTCCTTTGGATTGATGTGATCATGCGTGATATATTTGCAAGAATTGGAATGACTAGGTTGCTAGAAATGCAATATGTGACTTATCCTCATTTGGTTTATGAAATCTTTAGTTCATATGTGTATACAAAGGATGATGATGATCATGCAAATGACACCATCACCTTTCGTTTACTCAATGAAAATCGTTCATTGATCAAAAGAGAATTTGCACATCATTTTGGCCTCCCTCTGTTTGATGAAGCTCGTGCTTATGATACGCTTGTGGGATACGAGTTATGGAAAAGAATGACAGGACAAGGTGTGGTGGACCTTTCTAAGTTGAGTTTGAACTGTGTTCAACACCCGGTCTTCCGTATTTTCCTAAAATTCTGTTCAAATTGTTTCCTTGGAAGACCGAATAATCACCACACAAGAATGTGGGATGTGTGTGTTCTGGCACAAGTTGTTTTACCTGGACCAGAACCAATTGACGTTGCCTCTATCTTATGGACCCATTTCAAAAATGTGGCAACGTCATCCGGACAAATTGTGATAGGGGGCCTAATCACACATCTAGCCACTTTATATGGCTTTGTAGACCCAGGCCCCATTACTCCGAAACAGCTCATTTGCACGTCATGGCTTGTGCAAAAGACCAAAGATTTGGCTCTATCTCACATGACACCAACTGGGACACCAATCTACAACTGGTTTATCATCCCACGTCAAAACATAATTATCCATATCCCATCCCCTGACGTCCCCCTAGATATCATGGGCCATGAAATCGGTGATGGTCATCACTACTGTCTCCCCGGGGCAATCCCGGCACACTATGCACAAGATGAACCAGATCAAGAACATGCTGAATAAAACCCGCCCTTGATACCTAACCCACCACAACAACAACCTGATGCTCCAGCCTACCAATACTCACCATTTGAGCAACAGATGCTCAATAACATGAACATGATCAACAACAACTACATCCAGCTTCAAGAGCGAGTTGATCAGTATAGAACTGAACAGAGGCATAGCTTTGAGAGGTTGGAGGAACAACGGCAGGAAGACTGGCGGAGATATGAAGAGGACCAACGGCGAACCTTTGGTCCGATATACTCCTATGTAGCACACCAGAGCTCCTTTTCCTCTGTGACCACTCCACCTCCTGCACCATCATGGTATGACCCCTCTCAGTGGGGTTTCTTTAGAGGATCGAGTTCCGGTGGTGGAGGCGACGATGATGGTTATGGGGGGACAGACACCAAGGTGGAGGTCTAGGCGGACACTAGGGACAGTGCCAGATCCTAAGTGTGGGGGTGCAGAGATTGTTCTGGTATGCTCACAATCCTACTTGTTTTATTTTATTTTCAAAAAAAAAAGAGCTTGTTGAGTTGAAAACCCACAAAGGGAAACTCAAGCAAAAATTAAAGCAATAAAATAAAGAGTGAGGTTGTGAGAATTAAAAGAAAAATGTGGGAAGCTGGGATGAAAACCTGAAAGGGCACCTAGCCAAAACGAGAGAATGAGAGAAATGTCTATTTTGCAGGATCCTGAAGGTGATAAGTTCAAAAGAGAAATGGAGATAAAGATGAAGTTGAAGATCCCAATTTACTTTAATTACTATTGGGGATGCTTTATATTGTGGTAAAAACACTCTTGGATGTTTTGTATTGATATTCTTGTCATTTAGGACTTCTTGGATTTGATTTGATTTACTCGAGACGAGTAAAGGTTTAAGTGTGGGGGTGTTTGATGCACACTAATTAGTAGTGCATAATTGTATGTTTTTATGTTTCATTGATGGTGATTGTTTGACGTTTTATTTAGTTTGTAAACATTTGTGTGATTTTAGTTGTAATTGTATTTTAGTTCTCATTTGTAAGTTATAAAGTAGAATTAGGAATTAGGATTTTGGAAAGTATAGGACACCGCCATATATCGACTTGATACTAGCATTTAATCTCTTAACTCCTTGATGAAATCAATTGAGATTGATAACCTCAACACAACGATTTCGGTTTAACCAACAAAATTAATCCCTCTTAAGTTTATCAACCACGACCGTGCATTAATAAACCGAAGTTACTTACTTGTGAAACCATCAACGATTAACCATCGGTTCGTCGATCGTTTCTAGTAATGATTAATATATGAAACAAAACTAGTTGATCCTTTAAGTAATATTCAAAATATTAATATGAAATATGAATAGGAATTAATTAATATTCAAGGAAGAATATTATTAAAGGAGATGAATCCTACTATAACTAAAATCAAGATGTTAACTAATTGTCATCTTAGCAACACTCCCCAATATTAATATAGAAGAAGAAAATACTACTCTAACTAATGTCAAGATGTTAATTAATTGTCATCTTAGTAGCACTCCCCAACATTAATATAGAAGAAGAAAATACTACTCTAGACTGTTCCCATTATAAACTGGACCAACAGGATTAATGCTTAACAATGGACAAATAAATTTTACTCTGTATATTTTAACTAGTTCGGTTTATTCGGTTCGGTTTTAAGGGTAAAAACCAAAACCGAACCCAACAACTACGGTTCGGTTCGGTTTATTACATTCGGTTTCGGTTTGTTAGCGGTTCGGTTTTATTTGGCTACGGTTCAGTATGATTTGATTTGGTTTTCAGTTTTCGATTTTTCGGACCCAGCCCTATCAACAGCTCTCTTGCTTTTGAGGCCCTAAAGAAGCTTTTGAGCTTTCCTCGTGCATCTTCCAAAGCAAAACTTATCTACAAAGAGCACAACGCAGTTTCACTCCAAAGTTTCTTTGTTTGGCTGTACTCCGCAAAGTAGTTACTTGGCCCAGACTACTAATGTCTTGCCCAAACAACTTTTGTCTGGCTGTAAGACACAAAACTAATACATACCCCAGACTACAAATGTCGGGGACAGACAAATTTTGTCTGGCTAGACAGACGCTGCAGTTCTAAAGTGAAACATAGAGTGGTTGGGGAAATAGAGATAACCAGACAAACATTATTTTTACGTAGAGAGACAATAACTTTACACAAACAGACAATACGGCGGATGCCCAAACAGACAAAAGAACAACATACATAAGTGGATAATTGTACATGTAATGTTACAAAAAAGGTATAAATGTTTGTACATAAGTGGATAATTGTACAATATTCGACACATTTCCCCATCTGTAATATGTACTGTTTGTAAAAAAATACATATTCAAAAAATGACAAGTTCAAAATCCACACATTTCACCACTCCATGCTTCAGCCTTCTTCAAGCACCATGTTGGTGTAGTCATAGTCAGGAATATATCAATAACTTCCTCAGTAATAGCTGCTCTGCAAATAATATGACCATGACGCCACATTATTCGGATCTATAGACAGACAAATAAAGCATAGATAAACATTTAGAACACTTAACACAGACAATACATGTAATACAAAAAAATATTAAGTTTTATACCATGCTTGCTATTGAGGCACACATAGAGTCATAAACTTTACCAATCTACTTTACCATAAACTTTGACAAACAACTAAATATCAATTACAGACATCTATTTTTAAAATGAACGACAACTTCATAACTCTTATAGATTCCTCACAACAACATGATAGACAAGTCATTACAGACAACTCAAAACAAATACAGACCACTAATAAACAAATGACAGACAATTAAAAAATATTAAATTGGAAAAAATTACTATATCATATTAAATTTGAAATCCATAAAAATACTCATTAAACATTGAGGTACAAAAAAATTAAAAAAGAAGTCTTGAATTTCAACAAAAAATTCATTGAGTAATTTCTACAAACATGTTATAGGCATAAAATGACATAGTCTAATTGGACTAAATTTCCAATAATAAATATCGCAAATTTTCACTATAATACAAAATAATCAACCATTCAACATTAAAAGATATACATATAAAGAGTATTATTCATGAAATAAAAAATAAACAACAAAAAAATGAAGAAAATGGAAAGAATGGAGAAAAAGGCATACCTGAAGGAAAATGGTGTGGAAAAGGTATACTGAATCAAACTACTTCTAGCTAAGAGTTATTTTCTTCTGGGGAACTTGAAGGTATTTATTTAATATATTGACATGGTCAATATATAAGGTAACCAAGGCGGCATATTGGACTGAAACACTACAAAGAAATATTTCCAAAATTTCATTATACAATATTTTCCTAGTAATTTAAATAATATTAAAATTTGGAATGAGCTATATGGTCTAGAGGCCCCGTTCTTTAATTTGTGTGCTATCCTACTGCACATTTTTGTGGGGCTACGGATTCTTCACACCAAAGAAGAAGGAAGAGGGAGTACCGGAAGACGACAGGGGCACAAAAGGTTAGGCGCAGAAAAGGAAGAATGAAATAGGAGAAAAAAAGAGGCCAAAAGAAGATGATGAATTAGACGCAGAGATATATGAGAGGGATGAGTTAGGCGCTGAGAAAAGGAGAGAGAAGGATTAGGCGCAGAGGAAGAGGGAGAAAAAAATTAGGCTATTTATATGGGGTGCAAATGGGGTAAAAAGTGGGGTACCTATAACATTTTTGAAAGAAAATAGAACTAATAATGTTTTTACTTGGACTGTAATTTGCTGGTCTGTTCTGAACTGATCCGGTCTTGTCTGATTTCTTTTTATTTTTATAACTATCCAAGTCTGGTCTGGTCTGAACTAGCTAGTCTTATCTGGTCTGGTGTGGGAGGAATTGTAGTCCAAGTAAAAACATCCTAAGGGAAAGGTGTGACGAGAGGAAAAAATGAAGGAAAATAAATAGAAGAAAGAAAAAATGAAAATGCAAAAAATGACATCTAGACCGCCAAATCACCAAAGTCACTTGTTAACGGGGAATCAATTGTCTAAATTAGAAATTTAATAGTTTTTATATAGTTCAGGCGCTCCATTAACTTTTCTGGTATAATTCGATAGCCGATTTGACTTTCCAAATTTATCAACTCTTTGAGTCTTTCTTGATCTATGTGAGTCACACATATACCCAAATTTAAAATCTCCCATTAAATGCAACAGATTTGCCTTTTTGTATAGTTTGCAATGGGAGAATCTCAAGAGACAACCTTGGGCAAATTAAAAGTCATCTTAGCTCTGTTCCCAAAGATGGAAGAAGGAACATAAAAGTTTATACGACCGTGAATCCCTATTTGATACCGCCAGATTTTTTAATAACAATGCACGGAGAGGCGGAGAGCTCCCCTAAAAACTTGTTCTCGGTTAGACTTTTTCAATTCTACAAATGAAAAGTACCTAAGTTCTCCCCTTCTCGGTCGGATAGACATTCTGTCCGGTGTTCAAATCTCCATCATGTCTAGCCGTGGAAAAACTGTAGCCAGCGAACTGCCGGGAGAGGTAAAGGAGATGATTTTGGAGCGGATGCCCACTCGAGATGCCGCCAGATGTGCTCTGCTTTCGACTCAGTGGAGGGATGCTTGGTACCGCCAAGGCCGTCTCGTCTTTGACCGGGACTTCTTCCGCTCCCTCGAAAACATGAGCAAAGCTGGGAATGACGACGGCTTGTCTGTGGTGAGCATAATAAACCAGATTCTCATGCTCCGAGCTGGACTCGTTAAGAAATTCACGTTTTACAATTGTTTCTCATCTAATCCGCCGCTGAAGCAGTCTGATTTAGACAGGTGGTGTCTTTTACTGTCAAGAAAAGGCGTTGAGGAACTTCACCTCTCTGGTGGTTTTTGCATAACAAAATATAAGGTACCATCCTGTCTACTCTCATGCAAGACCATAAAGCAACTGAAACTTGACCTTATCCTTTTTTACTTGCCGGAAAAAGCTGCCTGTATATTCCCCGGGCTGACTTCGTTAGATTTCACATGCGTGGAGTTCATGGGTAATGATAAGGGTATTGGCAGTCTAAGACAAATACAAAGCAACGAGAACAACAGAATAATAACACACCACACGCAGCTTAGTTTGAAGCATGTTTACGTGGCAATTCTCTCCCATGCATTTGTAGAAGAATCTACTAGAAGTTGCTAGAATATATTGTTGTTAGCTAGTTTGTTATTTCTGTTTTTACTAGCTATAAATATACGAATATAAGGCAGTGTAATATATAGAAAAACATCAGATTGAATGAAGAATCAATGAAGCTGGTTTCTACTCTTTCTTCTTCATTTCTTACGTTAGTTCATCAAGCTTTGCTCATTACATTTTAATGGTGATCTATACTTTAGTTTTCTATATGGTATCAGAGCGTTGGTGAGCTGCATTCTCGCACCAAAACCAGATTGATCACATATTCGAAGGTCTGTTAAAGCAGTTCGATCACGATCATGCCTCAAACAGAAGAATCAAGTCTCACGATCAACAATCCTCTGTTCCTAGGATCTGGAGATAATCCAAATGCAGCTTTGGTAAATCCACAGTTAAACGGGAGCAACTATCATTCCTGGAGCAAATCCATGAAGATAGCCCTAGGAGCAAAGAATAAGATCAAGCTAATCAACGGATCAATATCTAAACCAGATGCAAAAGCAAAAGATTTTGAAGAATGGGAGAGGTGTGATCTTATGGTTCATTCGTGGATTCTGAATTCATGCACAAAGGAGGTGGCGCAGTGCATTCTATATGAAGATACTGCCGCACAGATGTGGAGTACCTTGAATGAGAGATTCTCACAAGGTAACTTACCTAGAGTTTTTGATCTCCAAAACCAAATATACTCCACTGTACAGGGAAACATGAGTGTGAAAGATTATTACAATAAGCTGGACTCTCTATGGAGAGAACTAAATCAGTTCAATCCGCTGATTAGCTGTACTTGTAATGCAATTAAGAATTGCAAATGTGAATTTCTAAAAACTCTGTTGGAATGAGAAGAAAGAGACAGATCTATCAAATTTTTGATGAGTTTAAATGAGGTATATGCTGGAATTAGAGGGCAAATTTTGGTGATGAAGCCAATTCCTAAACTGAATCAAATATTCAGTTTCATTCTTCAAGATGAGATGCAGAGGAATATAGGAAATAATGTGCAAGTTGAAACCATGGCCATGATGAGCAAAGTTAGAGACAACAAAGTTGTTTGTACACACTGTGGACTTACAAATCACACAGTGGATAAATGCTACAAGCTTCATGGTTATCCTCAGAATCAAAAGAAAGACAACAAAGTTATTTGTACTCATTGCGGGCTTACTAATCATACAGTTGATAAATGCTACAAAATTCATGGTTATCCACCTGGATATAAACCAAAAGCAAAACAGAATAGCAATGGGACAAATGCTCCAAACAAAGCCATTGTTTACACAGCACAAATGGAGAGTAACCCTCAGGCTGGTATTGATAAACCATCTACCAATGTGACACAAGACCAGTATAATCATCTTCTTAGTCTTATCCAAAGCATAGCTCAAACACAGAACTCTAACCTTTCCTCTGCACCATCATTCTCTAATCATACATCTGGTGGAGGTATATCCAAAAGCCCCCATATCTGCATGACTACTGATGTTAACAACTTTTCCACTTCTTGCAAATGGATATTGGATACAGGTGCTACTGATCATATGATCAGTAATCAGTCTCTTTTTTATTCCGTCCATCCTGTATCTAACACATTTGTTCATCTACCTACAGGACATAAAGTTCTTGTTACCCATGTTGGTAGCATTAAACTTTTTCCTAATATTGTTTTAAACAAAGTTCAATACATACCTGATTTCAAAGTTAATCTGTTGTCTGTCAGCAAGTTGCTTACTGAAACAACATTAACTCTTACTTTCCATTCAAACCAATGTGTATTACAGGACAACTCTATGAAGCAGAAGATTGGCATTGCTGATTTGGTCAATGGATTATACATACTGAATCCATCATCTCAACATTCTCCCACAACCTCTTTTCAAGTTTTCAGTGTCAATAATCATGTTTGGCATCAAAGATTGGGGCATGTTTCCGACTCCAAGCTCCAATCACTAAAAGATATTTTACATATTACTGTCCTTGACAATAAAAGTTGTACCATTTGTCCTTTGTCTAAACAACATAGATTACCATTTCAAAAGAGCTCTATTAAATCTTCACATGTTTTTGATCTTGTTCACTGTGATGTTTGGGGGCCCTTTTTCGTACCCACTTATGATGGATATCAATATTTCTTAACCATTGTTGATGACTTTTCTCGTGTTGTATGGTGTTGCCTAATGAAACAAAAATCAGACACCAAACAACATCTTTTATCCTTTCACAAAATGGTTCTAACCCAATATTCCACTCATATCAAAACCATAAGAACTGATAATGGAACTGAATTTTCCTTATCTGATTTCTATACCACTCAAGGCATTATTCATCAAACAACCTGCCCATACACTCCCCAACAAAACGGGGTTGCAGAAAGAAAACACCAAGCCCTTTTAAACATAGCCAGAGCCTTAAGGTTTCAAGCTAACTTACCTTTAGTCTTTTGGGGTGAATGTATTCTTACTGCAGTTCACATCCTAAACAGATTACCTACCAAAATTCTAAACAACAAATCTCCTTATGAGGTGTTTCACAACCAAACCCCCGATTACAATTCCATGCGCACATTTGGTTGTTTATGCTTTGCATCCAATCTAACTGGTCATAAACACAAGTTTGAACCTCGAGCCAGAAAATGTATATTCATTGGTTATCCACCTCACACAAAAGGTTATAAAGTTTTTGATCTATCTTCTCATCAATCCTTTTTATCCAGAGATGTTATTTTTCATGAAACAACTTTTCCTTTTCATAATGAATCTATTCTTCACACTGATCAAGTTCTGCCCACTCCTATTTCAGAACCCACTTCAGAAAATATTACTTCAGCTCCAACCACACCTCATATATCTATTCCTACTCCTTCTCATATCAACCAGCCACTTGACACACTCAATTCATCTGTTCCTGTTCAATCTTCCAGATCTCAAAGACACAGAAAACTACCCACACATCTTCAGGATTTTGTATGTAGCAATTCTCAGACCAAATCTTCAACTGCCACATCATGCTTTTCACAAGAGAAGTCAGGTAAAAACATTCATTCCATAGATAAGTACATTACATATTCCAATTTTTCTGCCTCATATCAATCCTTTTTTGCCACCATCTCACAAATTACTAAACCTACATCTTATATCCAAGCTTCCCAAGATCCCAAATGGCAAAAGGCTATGCAAGATGAAATTACTGCACTTGAATCCAATGGTACATGGTTTATCACTGACTTACCTGCAAGCAAAACTCCCATTAAGTGCAAATGGGTTTACAAAGTTAAGTATAATGCTGATGGTTCTATTGAGCGTTATAAGGCACGATTGGTTGCCAAAGGTTTCACACAAATTGAAGGACTTGATTTCTTTGATACTTATTCCCCAGTTGCTAAGCTAACCACTGTCAGAGTGCTTCTTGCAATCGTTGCATCTAAAGGATGGTTTTTGGAACAAATGGATGTTCACAATGCCTTTTTACATGGGGATCTCCATGAAGAAGTATACATGACTATTCCACAAGGTTTTGAACGCACAGAGAAGAACAAAGTTTGCAGATTACTTAAAAGCATTTATGGTCTAAAGCAGGCAAGCAGGCAATGGTTCTCCAAATTATCTACTGCTTTGAAGACCTATGGTTTTGAACAATCCTACGCTGATTATTCTTTATTCACTCTACAGAAAGACGGTTATACTCTTATCCTTTTAGTTTATATTGATGATATCTTGGTTGCATGTTCAAACAAAGAGGAAATCAATAAAATCAAAGGCTTTCTTCATCAACATTTCAAAATCAAAGACTTGGGCCCAGTAAAAATTTTCTTGGGACTGGAGGTTGCTCGTTCTTCTCAAGGTCTTTATCTTTGTCAACGCAAATACACTATGGATTTATTACATTCTTTCAATTATCAAGATTGTAAACCAGTATTTTTTCCTATGGATACCAAGACACGGCTGAGTTGCAAAGATGATCATCCTTTGGATGATCCTTCTCTTTATAGATCTCTCATTGGGAAGTTATTATATCTCACAATCACCAGGCCAGATATCACTTTTGCCGTCAATACATTAGCTCAATTCATGCAAACACCCTGTCATTCTCATCTTTCTGTTGCTCATAGAGTACTTCGATACCTCAAAGGATCTATTGGCCAAGGGTTATTATATTCATCCACATCCAATTTGCAACTTAAAGGTTTTTCTGATTCTGATTGGGCGAGTTATGTTGATACGAGAAGATCTATTACAGGTTATTGCATGTTTCTAGGTGATTCCTTAATTTCTTGGAAGTTCAAGAAACAACACAATGTTGCTAGAAGTTCTGCAGAGGCAGAATATCGTGCCCTTTCTGCCTCAGCTGCTGAAATACTTAGTCTTCTTCAGCTTTTCAAAGACTTCAAACTTCCTATCTTTAAAGGCACCATCTTTTGTGATAGCAAGTCTGCCCTTGCTCTTGCTGCTAACCCTGTACATCATGAACGTACAAAGCACGTGGAAATTGATTGCCACTTCATTCGTGAATGGATACAAGCTGGTGTAATTCATAGTTTATACGTTCCTACCCATCATCAATTGGCCGACATACTCACTAAACCTTTGGGCAAACAAGCTTTCTATTTTTTATTGTCCAAGATGAGTGTCCATAATCTGTACTCTCCTCTTGAGGGGGGGTATTGGCAGTCTAAGACAAATACAAAGCAACGAGAACAACAGAATAATAACACACCACACGCATCTTAGTTTGAAGCATGTTTACGTGGCAATTCTCTCCCATGCATTTGTAGAAGAATCTACTAGAAGTTGCTAGAATATATTGTTGTTAGCTAGTTTGTTATTTCTGTTTTTACTAGCTATAAATATACGAATATAAGGCAGTGTAATATATAGAAAAATATCAGATTGAATAAAGAATCAATGAAGCTGGTTTCTACTCTTTCTTCTTCATTTCTTACGTTAGTTCATCAAGCTTTGCTCATTACATTTTAATGGTGATCTATACTTTAGTTTTCTATAAAGGGACTGGTCTTTAGCATGCCCAAGCTCGAGAAGCTGGATTTCTTCCTGTGTTTTGATACTACTAAGTTTGTCGCCAGCGCTCCCAACCTTCAAAGTTTGTCCAATGTTGGAAGTACGTAGTACTGGGAACAGATTGATCACGCTAAATTTGAGCTCTATTAAGACCCTCAGTCTCGATTCGGATTGGGTGAGAGAACTTCTTGCTCATATACTGTACTATCTCAAATCTATTCTCAAATCTTGCAAGTATGTAGTTGTATAGATCAGGGTACTTCCTTCCTTCTTTTTTTAATTACAACACTTCACTTTTCACGTTTGCCTATACATAAGTTTGACCATTAATATCTTTCATTTCGTATTAGTAAAAAAAATGGAAAATTAATATGAATTGATAAGTTGTCTCATACGAAAATGGTATACATTGTTCGCTCAAGTATTAAAATATGAATTTTAATACTATTTAGATGGCTAGTCATATACTCCATCCGTCCTTTATAACTTTGTCATCTTTGCTTTCTTGGATGCACAAAAATTTTGTCACTTTCCCTTTTGATCAATGAATTTGTGGTTCATATTATTTTTCTCTCATTTGCACATATTTCAACTACACAGCTTTTACTTTATTAATTCCCGTGCTGGTCAAACATGACAAAGTATTGAAAAACAGAGGGAGTCTATTGAAGTTCAGAACTCTTTAATAAAAAAAATAGTAACTAAATAAGAGTAGTGTATTAATAATTAAGAATACTTTAGCTGGTTTGGTAACTATAAAATTGGTTGAATTAGATTTAGTAAAATTATTGATGCATTATAAAATTGACTTAAATGCACTAAATTTGGTGAAAGTTAT